GCAGCAGTCTGGGAGCTGACCTTGTCTGTGAAGACCGAGGCAAAAAAAGCATTGAATACTTCAGCTTTTTCCACATCATCTGTCACTAGGTTGCCTCCCCCATTCATTAAAGGTCCCACACTTTCCCTGACCTTTTTCTTGTTACCTGTAGAAACCCTTCTTGTTGCCCTTCACACCCATTACTAGCTGGAACTCCAGTTGTGTTTTGGCCTTCCTGATTACACCCCTGCATGCTCGAGCAATATTTTTATACTCCTCCCTAGTCATCTGTCCAAGTTTCCACTTCTTGTAAGCTTCCTTTTTGTGTTTAAGCTCACCAATGATTTCATTTTTAAGCCAAACTGGTCGCCTGCCATATTTGCTATTCTTTCTGCACATTGGGATGGTTTGTTCCTGCGCCCTCAATAAGGCTTCTTTAAAATACAGCCAGCTTTATATTTATATTCCAGTAGCTCCTAGAGGCCCCAGTGGAGATCAGGTCCTTCTTGTGACACTCCCTGAAGAACTCAGAGTTGACTTTCAGTGAAATTTAGGGTGCATTGACACTTCCAATCTGAAGTGTAAATTCCAGCTTAAGGGGACATGGCTGCTCTAGTTCTGGTCAGTCTAGTGTACTAAGAATAGAGTGTAGTCATGGTGGTGTGCAGCCCCCTTGCATTTTGGATGGTTATGTGCTCGGATGGCGCTAACTCCTCCCACCAAATGTGCAGTTGCAGGTCTACTTTATTTTTAGCATGCTAGCTTGATCAAAGCCAGAATTTACCTCCATCTCCAAGTGCAGATATACCCGAAGTCTCACTGGAAGTCAACCCTGAGCTCTTCAGGGAGCGTTTCTTGCTCTGTGTCTGTGCAGCACCTGTCACAACAGGACCCTGATCTCCACTGAGGCCGTTAAGTTCTACTGAAATACTCTTAAGCTCCTAAGTACCTAAGACCCAGAGCTACAGAGGTATTTAAGCATCTAATTCCCATAGAAATCAATAGGAGTTTGGCACCTAAATACCTTTGAGGATCTGGGCCTAAATTACTTTTGAAAATGGGACTTAGGTGCTTTTGAAACTTTTACCGTATATCTTTAGGTATTTGTGCTTCAGATTCCATTCCAGCCTCCTAATTAATTTCCTCCTTTCATGCTGCCTGCCATAGTTTATGCTCCTTTTCCTTGGCTTCACCATGACAGGACTTCCATTTCCTGAAGGACCCCTGGCTTGAATAATCTCTTGACCTTGCCATTTCACCAGGCTGGTTTACTTCTTGTCTTCCTGTTGCCCTGTTTGCATGCAGGTATTCACGCCTTCTAAGATTCCCATGCTTGACTCAAGTAGTCACACTTATCCGGCCCAAAGGGGACAGTGGCTTAGAGAACTGGGACAAGGTCTGCTTCCAGTTTCCTGGCCCGTGGTAGATGCGGGAGAGGAGGCTGCAGCCACCTAGGTAGTGGGGAGTCAGGGGACAGCTTGTAACAAGCACTGGGATGCAGGGAGTGCACTCTTGGTGCCTTACTATATGTTCAATAATCCTGTGCTGAAGTCCCACATGCATGGCACCGTGTTCTCCAACCCCGAAATGGGTGAACAAAAGCCAGAGCGATGCTGAGCCCAGGGGAGTATGTGTGTGTGACGTGCTCCTTCTAACTGACATTGGGGTGACTCTACCTGATTATGCTGGGCTGCTGGGTTTCCTTCCTGAGCCAAGGCAGGTTGTCACAATCACTCACTGTCCATGTGATACTGAGAAAGGGGCGGGGAGGGAAGCGCCTTGACAGGCGCCAATAGCTCAGCATCCCCTGAGGCAGGACACCAGGGGCCATATTGCCAAAGGCAATTTGCAGCTCCCATTGACTGCAGTGCAACGTGTGGGGGCCCAGCACTTCTGACGACCAGCCACATGAGGGCTTCTGCTCTGGAGGCAGCAGCTCGGCCCATCCAGACGCCCTGGAGGCTCTGGCTGTTGCATTGTTGACAGGTTCTTCTTTCACTGGCTTGAACCAAACTGGGAATGAAAGCCATTACTGAGCCTTCCTTAACATGCACGCCTACAAACTCATCTTCACAAAGCTTCCACTAACAGGAAGTGAGTGTTTTACATACATCTGGCGTACAGAACAACACAGTAATCCCTGTGCACTGGGGGAGCAGGGCAAGCATCACAACCAAAGGCCAAATACCAACTGATCTCTTACACCGGCCGGGGCAAATCCAGAATACATTGACTTCAGTGGAGTTACTCTAGATTTAAGTTGGGACAACTCAGAACTGAATATAGGCCAAGGAGAATCTCCTGGTGTTTCTGAGCTGGCTCTCTATCTAAATTATTTTCCTGTCTAAAGATAAATTATGCTGAAAAATAATAAGTTTGTATTAAAGCAGAAGACATGTTTTGTGCTCTCTAAGGTACTGTCTTGACTAGAAAAGGGGATGGTTGTGTTCTAGGCTAAGCCACAACTTGAGGTGTTACCCTGCATCTGCATGAGGAAAAAGGCTGAGTTTACATCTGGTTTAGCTAGCACACGTCAGCTAAACCTAACCTAAACTCAACCACTTTTCCTAGTCAAGAAAAGCCCAATGGCTACATGTAAAGCAGCAAGTTTAATATTGATTGATCAGTGAGATTCCTCAACTGTTACAATTTTCTCCTAAATCTGGGCCAAAAGTTTCAAACTTTGTGTCACTAGGTTTCTGAAGATACTGGACAGTTTGCAAATCTGTTTGTAATCGACTTGTCCCTAGTAGACTGGTATTGCCATTACTGACCTGTGAAGATATAAAGGCAGCAGGTTAGCATGATGGATGCCATAAAGCAACCTGTCGAACCAACCATTCCCAGCCAGCAAGACCACCCGAAGTCGTAGTGGATCCCCAGGAATACGTCATGTAATATCAGAGTAGCTCTCTCCACATAGACATCCACCGCATACCACACGGAGCCGACCATGCCAAGGACGCCTAGCCGAAGAACAAAGTCAGCTGAGAAAAAACAGCACAGAACACACTCCACACCAGCCACTCTCCTTGGGGGGACAGGCCAGGCCAGTCTGACCAGGGCTGCCAATCCCAAGGCTTCAAATATCATGAGTCAGACTTCAAAAGTCAGGAGATTTTTTTTTAAATAATATAATATTTGGGGAGGGGAAGAGAAGGGGAGAAGGGTAGTAAAATCTCTCTGAACCCCTGGGGTGAAGGACCTGCCTTTCTATCCCTCTCCATCTGCCTTCCCCTAGTACTGCCCTTTTTGTCCCCTCCCTGTCTCCTTTGCTGCACCAGGCATCATGCTCCCACTCACATTCACCCGCCACGCTCCCCAACAGTCTCCTTTCCCCACCTGTTGCCTCAATTCATCTTCCCGCACATTTCTCTCCCTTTCCCTTCCCGGCTTCCTACTCCTCACATTCTGCTTCTCTGCTCCTCCTTTTGCCTGCACTCTCAACCTCTGCCGGCACCTCCAAATTACCCTTCACGCCCTCTCTCCCTCCAGCTCCGCCATTTCCTTTGCTCCCCATTCCACTGCACCCCAGTCTCTTTCTGGTGTTGTCCCTTTCCCCTACCCCCGCCCAATTCCCTGTCCAATTTCCTAGCCATAGAACACGAGGGTAAACAGCCTCCTCTAAAGACAGTCTGGCTTCAGTTCCATTGGGAACAATGGGATACAGTGGCCATCTTTAGTAGGTGCAGCCTCACTTTTACCTGTAGGGAAATGGGCACCATCTTGAATGAGGGCAGCCTGTGGCTTCAGCCCCAGTGGGTCAGGAGTAAGGACCTGAGGAAGAGCTGGCCTCTGGGCAAACTAATGAGCACAGCTGGCCAGTAGTTGGTTGCCTAATTGGCTATGCTACATGATTGGTTGGAAGAGTCAGCAGACTGGAGCTGAAGCCCAAAAGCAGCAGTTCAGCGGCAGCTCAAACCAGTTGCCCATGGCTGCAATAGCTCTTATGCCGGCTTGTTCCCAACCTTGCCCCTGCCTTGGCCCCAGCCCTGCCCCTGCGTTGGTCCCAGCCCTGCCCCTGCGTCGGCCCCAGTCCTGTCCCTGCTTTGGCCCCGGCCCTGCCTCACTCCACATAATCCACTTCTGACCCTTGGCTCTGATTCCTGCCTTCTGACTCCAGCTGTGGCCCTTGGCTCTGGCCTCTGACTCCAGCTCTGACGCTGGGCTCCAATTCCTGGCTATTGACACCTGCTCCAACCACTAGGCACGACCGTCCACATCCCAGTCATTGACAGTTTGAGCAGTCCCTCTACAAACAATAAGAGAACCAGAGCTGATGCGGTGAGCATGGACTCTACAATCCCTCTTTGACGGAGATCGTGGGAGCCCTACGGACCTTGTGTAGAATGCAATCCTGTAAAACTCAAGTCATGCCGCCTTCAACCCCAACCCCTGCTCCCCACGAGCCCAAGCCCCTCCTGCCTGACAAATTTAACAATGATCACAACAAATTTTGTGTGTTCCTAAATCAGGGTCCACTCCTATTTCTGCTATGCCCACGGTCACACCCACTGACCAAGCCCAAGTGGGATTGATTATCAGTCTGCTTATCAGGGAGTCCCTGGCTTGGGTGTCTTTGCTCCTGGAAAAATCAAACCCCTTTCTGGGACATCTTGAGGACTTCATCAGAGCTATGGCCGTGACCATCGATGACCCAAGTCATGAGTGTATGGCCGAAGTGTTGCAACAGGGATACTGGCCCTTAGCTAAATATGCAGCAGAGTCCCAATGCTTGATAGTAGAAACCAAATGGAGTAAGGCTGCCCAGCATTATCATTTCCGGCTTGGCCTCATGACCATATACAAGATGAACTGGCATGTTGGAATCCTCATCTGGCTTGGATGCCTTAGCTGACCTATAGATCAAAATCAACGACCGCTTGCCCAAGCAGCAGGATGGTCCTCCTGGGTCCTACCAGGCTGCCAGATCTGGTTCCCCCCCATCGCCAGTCCCTTCCCCATCACCTCAGCTCATGCTAGTTGAGCATGTCTGGCCCCACCTCTCTGACTTGGAGAAGAATCAACACTGGACATAGGGCCTCTGGCTGTAACGTGGAGAAACAGGACACTTTGCATCAAGCTGCCCTGCCAAGGGGTTGGGATCCTGATCTGCACCTGGGTTGGGAAACGCCAAGCCGCAGCCCCAGGAGCAGAGTTGGGCTGGGTTGGCACCTTCCTCTCTTCCCAGTAGCCCAGACCAACACTCAGGTATTTCATTTTTAATAATGGAGATATCCCATCTCCTAGAACTGGAAGGGACCTTGAAAGGTCAGTGAGTCCAGCCCCCTGCCTTCACTAGCAGGACCAAGTACTGATTTTGCCCCCGATCCCTAAGTGGCCCCCTTCAAGGATTGAACTCACAACCCTGCATTTAGCAGGCCAATGCTCAAACCACTGAGCTATCCCACCCCCCAGTACCCCGGTGATGGGCAAGCAGTGTCCAACACATCTCCAGCTCCCTCTTTGGCTCTGGCACCCTGCAATTCCCAACACCTCCCTCGAGGCACAGGTGGAGTCAGTTGCTTCAGGCAGTTTCATGGATTTGGAGTTTTCCCAAGCACATAACCCCATCCAGTGCAAGAACCCCCAAATTAACAGAGGCCATAGATAGGTCACTCCTTTCATCAGGACCAGTCACCCACCAGATGGCTCCATTAGAGATAATTATCCTTTCAGGCCACCTAGGAATCCTCCAGGTTGGGCTAGTTCATGCATCTCACTCATCAGTTGGGCTCGGTGCCACGACCTGTGCAGCTGATGGCAATCAGGCATGATACACTTTGATTCCCTGTCTTGCAGACAATCCTGCTTCCTGAGAGCCAAGCCAGGGCCAGCCACCTGTTGTGGCTTACTTGGTCCTCCAAAGAAGTCAGAGATGTGAACAGAGGATCCAAAGCCAAACTTGGCAACCCCTAGGACCTCCCCAATGGCTCTAGGGATTCCTATTAAATATCAACTGATGTGTCCGACAATAAGAAAGCAAACACCTCATTGCTGCTATGACAGCTCCATCGACCTCCAGTCAGAAGCAGAGGGTCCCTTTGGGAGCAATTACTCCCTCTCCAAATCTGAAGTACAGATATTCCCAAAATATCTCAAGGAAAACCTGCAGAAGAGGTTCATTCACTCCTCCACATCCCCAGCGGGGGTCCAGTCATCTTTCTGGCAAAGAAAAACTGTTCCCTTCAGCCTTGTGTGGACTACGGAGTGCTGAACAAGATTACAATCCAAAACTGGTACTTCTTCCCACTTACTAATGACCTGTTTGAAAGACTCCACTCTGCCAAGGTCTTCACAAAGTTGGACCTCCACAGAGCTTATAACCTGGTAAGAATCTGGGAAGGATATGATTGGCAGACTGCCTTTTGTACCGGCTATGGGCACTTGGAGTGTTTTGTCATGCCATTTGGATTGTTCAGCACCTTGGCAACTTTCCAGCATTTAATCAATGACAGCTTTCAGGACCTTTTGGACCAATTACCTTATTGACTCATAGACTTTAAGGCCAGAAAAGACCATAATGATCATCTAGGCCATAGACCCTCACCCACCCACTCCTGTAATATACCCATAATCTCTAGCTGAGTTACTGAAATCCTTAAATCATGATTTTAAGACTTCAAATTACTGAGAATCCACAATTTACACTAGCTTAAACCTGCAAGTGACCCATGCCTCAGGCTGCAGAGGAAGGCAACAAAGCCCAGTGTCTCTGCCAATCTGACACAGAGGAAAATTCCTTCCTGACCCCAAATATGGCACTCGTTAGACCCTGGGTATGTGGGCAAGACTCACCAGTCAGACACCTGGAAAAGAATTCTTTGTAGTTACTCAGAGCCTCCCCATCTAGTGTCCTATCACCGGCCATTGGAGATATTTGCTACCAGCAGTTGCAGGTTGGCTACATGCCCTTGTAGGCAGCGTCATCACACCAGCCCCTCTATAAACGTATCAAGCTCAGTCTTGAAGCCAGTTAGGGTTTTTTGTCCCCACAGCTCCCCTTGGGAGGCTGTTCCGGAACTTCACTCCTCTGAGGGTTAGAAACTGTTGTCTAATTTCAAGCCTAAACTTATTGATGGCCAGTTTATATCCATTTGTTCTTGTGTCAACATTGTCACTTAACTTAAATAACTCCTCCCCCTCCCTGGTATTTATCCCTCTGATGTATTTATAGAGAGCGATCATATCTCCCCTCAGCCTTCATTTGGTTAGGCTAAACAAGCCAAGCTCTTTGAGTCTCCTTTCATAAGACAGGTTTTGCATTCCTCAGATCATCCTAGTAGCCCTTCTCTGCACCTGTTCAGTTTGAATTCTTTCTTAAACATAAGAGACCAGAAATGCACACAATACTCCAGATGAGGTCTCACCAGTGCCTTGTATAATGGAACTAACACTTCCCTTTCTCTACTGGAAATACATTGCCTGATGCATCCTAGGACTGCATTAGCTATTTTCACGGCCCCATCACACTGGCGGCTCATAGTCATCCTGTGATCAACCAGTGCACCCAGGTCTTTCTCCTCCTCTTTCAATTCCAACTGATAAGTCCCCAGCTTATAGCAAAAATTCTTGTTAGTCCCTATGTGCTTGACCTTGCACTTTGCACTATTAAATTTCATCCCATTTCTATTACTCCAGTTTACAAGGTCATACAGATCTTCTTGTATGATATTCTGGTCCTCCTCCGTAGTGGCTATACCGCCCATCTTGTATCATCTGCAAAACATTTTAGCACATTCCCATTTGTTGTGCCAAGGTCATTAATAAAAATGTTAAATCAGATTGGTCCCCAAACCGATCCCTGAGTAACTCTACTAGGAATGTCTCTCCAGCCTGACAGTTCACCTTTCAGTACGACTCGTTGCAGTCTCCCCTTTAACCAGTTCCTTGTCCACCTTTCAGTTCTCTTATTAATCCCCAGCTCCTCCAATTTAACTATTAATTTCCTGTCTGGAACTGTATC